CCTCCAGTTCCAGAGAATCTGATGCCCTTTTCTGGCCTCCAAGGGCACCAGACATACATGTGGCATACAAGAACACATGTGTAAGTGTGTGTGCACAGTGTGGAGACCTGCAATTGATATCAGGTGTCAGTAACTTCCTCTTTGTTTCCTGCGTCAGGATCTCCTGGCCATCTTGCACTGGGGACTATAGGCAGCTGCCATACTGGCCTAACCTTACCCCCCCCCCCCCCAGACAGGGTTTCCCTCTGTAGCTCTGGAACCGTCTTGACTTTTATGAGGATTCTGAGGATCTGAGGTCCTCACACTCATACAGTGTGGTATGAACAGTGACACACACTGTTCCTTATACACCACTGGTCAATGTTCTGTAGGTGAATAATGAGCTGGGCTTTCTCCCCATCCCTTCTTTATGTGGAACTGCTGTCCTCAGACATTTGTTTTTGTCATCCATAAGTATATTTTCCACCCCCTTTTTTTCTTTTCTTTTTGAGAAAGGGTCTGGTCTGGAACTGTTTAAGAGTATGATTTTGAACTCTTCATTCTCCTGCCTCTACCTCCCTAGTGCTGGAAGAGGATCAGAAGTTCAAGGTCATCTAGAGTACTTACTAGTTTGAGGCCAGTCTGGGTTACAGAAGACCTTGTTTCAAAGTAACCCCAACAGTAACATCCAAATGAACAGTTCCTCAAACCAGATTTTAACCTCCCCAATACAACCAATCCAAAGCAAGCATCAACCACAATCTGTGTCCTTAACTCCACAGTTCTCCCAGTTAGGAACCTGTAACTGGACACTTCAGATAACTTCTTCCCTTCACAGATGCATTTCTATTAGCTTCTAATCTTCCCCTTCACTTTTTCCCTACCCACTGGCCATTCCCTGCCGTGTGCTGGAGTGACCTCACACACTCAACATCTTAACCTCTGGGCCATCTCCCCAGACCCTATATTCAGCTTCTAATGTGACTTCCACTGCGTTCCCATCTCTTTTCAGTTCCGTATTTTCTTCCTATTAACCTCATCTGGTTCCATAGATCAAAGCAATACATCCAGGTTGCTGTTCCTAGATTTCTATCTCCAGCACTGGACTCCAATCCACGTATCCCTTTGTCTACTTAATGAACCTATTTAGATTTCTAAAAGGCAACTCAGACTTAACTCTCAAAGCAGGTATGCTTTCCTCATCCTGACCACCCCCATCTCTGGACTTCTTCCTTTAAAATAGTTAAAAACTGGACATCATTCTTGACAATTCCTTTAGCCCTTAATTCTCATAGTCAGTCCATGAATTCATCTCCCATAATACATCTCCACCCTCTCTTCACTTGTACCTAGCCTGCTGACCAGCAAGTGACTTTGCTCACATATATTCTCGTTGCCTGTAGTCCTCTAGGGTGGTGAGTGGCGTGATTGAAGAAATGCAATCATCCCTAGTTTCTGTGTGGATTCAGAATTAGGCTGAGTTTTCCCCGTGTTCCCTCTGTCCTGTTACAGTGCTCCGGCCACCTTCTTTTACTGGGAAACCAACAAGCCCTTTCCTACCCCAGGACCTTTGCCCCTGCTTCTCCCATGGCCTTAGGGAGCTCTCTGGCCCTCATTCTTTGCACAGCTGGTTTTCCAGTCATCATCCATGCCTTAGCTCAACCACCACTTCCTCAATAAGGCTTATTTGACAACTTTATCTGAAGCAGGTCCCTCTCAAGTTATCATGTATTATATTACTTAATTAATCTTTAGCACTTCACTTACTATAACTGCAAATGCTTTTATTTACTGTATGCCTTTCCCCATTCAACTAGAAATCTAATGAATCAGGAATCTTTATTTCTTGGTACTAGTGGACATTGAACCCAGGGCCTTGAAACTTATTAGGCATGTGCTCTATCAACTGAGTTATACTCCTAGCCAAAAACACCTTATTTTAAAAATCAATGCTAATTATAGTATGCTTGAAAATGGACTTCTTTTTTTTTTTTTTTTTTTTTTTTTTTTGAGACTTGCCACTAGCTCAAGCTAGCCTGGAACTTACTATTTAGTCCAAGCTGGTCTTAGGCTCAAAACGATCCTCTTATTTCAGCCTGCCTAGTATTAGGATTATGGGCATGCATTGCAATGTAGGACTTAGGCCCATTTCTGTAGCATCGCCTGCTGTCCCGCAGTGAAGTCTATCTCCTACCCAGAGGGATTGGCTCTGAATAGACATTAGTAGCTGCCGCCGCCAACAAGCATCTTTCTGGACTGACTTACTCTCAATGCCGGGTCCAGCACACACACACACACACACACACACACACACACACACACACACACACACACACCACACACACACACACACACACACACACACCTCAGACTGCAGAGGCATGCAGGAGCAAGCAGGTTGGCTGGGCTCTCTGCTCTTTTCACTATACTTCAATGCCGGGTCCAGCACACACACACACACACACACACACACACACACACACACACACACACACCTCAGACTGCAGAGGCATGCAGGAGCAAGCAGGTTGGCTGGGCTCTCTGCTCTTTTCACTATACTTCAGGGGTTCTGCTTGAAGGCCTGTCTTCCTAAGCCTGTACTCTCAAAACTCGGGCTGGACTGGTCCCAAACCCTGAAGTAACAAATATTATAAAGTTCTGTCATTTCCTCCACCAGAAAAGTGATTTTACTACTACTTCTGGTTGTGATGAAAGGTCCTATTGACTATTCAAATCCTCGACCAAGTTATGGATGCGGTATTAAATGACTTCACTCCCTTTTCTCTGGCACTTTAACGAATGCCAGTGCTTTCATCCACCTCCACTAACGTGGCTTGTAAATCATGGAGGTGGGGCCGTCTTAATGGCAGGACTTGTTCACATCTCTAGAGATGGGGTATAAATGAGACCGACTGAAAAGACAAGTTCTTCTTTGACAGCATGCATTAGTGTATACAGATAATCCTTCCAAAGCTACACACATCTTATTGCTGTAAGGCTGGCTTACAAACCATAGTTATTAATAACTTTATTACAAATCAGAACATGGAAAAGTGATGCCAGTAAGATCAAAACAAAAAGAGACTTTCCCAGGCTTCTCAGGGCCACAAATTTGCTAAAGGTTCCTTTTATATGCTTAAAAATGGCTCCCTGCACAAGATTTCAAATCTAAAGAAGTCTGTTTTGAAGAAACAGAAAATGACAACAGGGAGCAAGCTACCTGTTTCCCAGGGCTAGAGTAGACAAGCTATTGCCCTCCCCTAAAAACTACAAAATCGAACACATGCAGGCTACTTCTTATGCAGATGAGAACGTTAGTGAGCACACTGTGGCTACTTGGGAAAGAGCTCCCAAGTGCTCCATTTGTGAGCCGAAGCAGAGCACTGACTGTCCCATCACACACAGGCAGCTTCCACTTGGACTTCTAGCTGGGCTACTCTTAACAACCCCTTATACCACCTTTTCCATTTCTGTTGGGAACATGGTGTGTATATGTTATGCATTCTTGAGTTGAAGCTGATAATATAACAACATAATACATATGTTTATCTCTTATAAACATATTATATGAGATCTAGGAGCTGTAGCAGGGTAGGTTGCATCTAGAAGCCTCTAAATCCAGTGCCTACATGTACAGCGCAAGATACAGCAGCAAAAAGGCCAGTAGAGAAGAACCTCTGAACTCAGACTAGAACATAGTTCTTAACAATGCCAATTTTACTGCTAGACAAACCATTTGCTCTCTCATGGCTGAGCTCCCTGGACATGCTGTCAAATTCACTAATTTACTAAGTTACTTCACCTTCCTTGGTGTAGCATTAGTTTGGGTATTTCAGAATGAGACCAGGCTGCATGGTCCTTATCATGGAATGACACAGTTGTGACAGAGGTGTGTAAGCCAGATAGCCCTGCTTCTTTGACATAAACACTTATCTGCCAAAAATGGAAGGAGAAAAAGCATCAGTTGTGGGAAGAAGGGCTCAAGGGAAGGTGAGCAAAGCCTGTATGTGTGGTCACTCACTCCAGCATGAAGGTGATGGTGGAAACGGTGTGACCCTGCAGAGCATGTGTAGCTTGGGTTAGAAGCAAGTGGTTAATACAATGTGGCAAACTAGAAATATGATCCAACTTCAGAAAAGGATAATGATCTTCATAAAAACCAAAGCAAAGATAACACATATGAAAGAATTATTCTAGTCTGATCGGCTTTCAGATTCATATGGAGAAAAGACAACTGAGGCTCGTAAAAGCAAAGCATCACAAGGCTTATTGCTACTATAAAATAGAAAGGTCCAAGGATCCAGCTGACAATGTCTTTAAGGAACAGCAAACTGTGGCTACTCCACCACGTGACACACCATGCAATCAGATGGATGTCCAAAGGAAAGGAAAGTGACAAAGGAGGCCTTCCTCTGAAGCTAAAAAATTCACGGAACGTCCACCTCTTGAAGTAGAGCCAACTGCACTAAAGCTATGGATTGCTTTCAGAAAAACACAAACTCAGGCATCTGATACCCTTCCTATGGTCCATGGGAAAACACTGCTCAAGTGAGGCACTAACTGATGGGATGCTGAAAGAGCACAGGACTCCAAGATGGGTTGGAAGAAACATATGCTTGGTCTCTCCCTTTGGGCTCTGGATAATGAGGTGAGGAGACCATTATGAACTTGCCAAAAGCACTAAACTTCTACTCCATAAACAATAATGCAAAACGAGTCCCCAGAAGTGGTCTAAGAGAAGAAAGCTATTACCAACCAAGCAGCAGAGCCAAGGGATTATTCAGACCACACACTCAAGCCCAAGCCTACAGGAAGAACTCAGAAAAGGACCACTACAGTCAGAGATGGCTTCCAGCGCCTACTCACTGCTTCTCTTAATTTACATTAATGTCACAGAACACTATGGCCAACAACTGCACTGCCCATGTAACTGGCTAAAGTAAAGGGTTGGCTGTAGAAGTTAATTATGGAGAGAGGGTTTAACAATGGAGCGAGTGAGAGGAATGAGAAGAGTCACTTACCTGTGCTATATTCTTGTTCAGAAGGTAGACACCATAATCAAACTGTAGCTTCTCCCCTCCCTTTGGATACAGTGGAAACCTAAGCAAGGTAAACAAAGATGATAAATTCTCAAGAACAGGGTAAAATGACCTCTATATTGTTGAGAGTCAGAAGTTCTAAGGCGTAGCACAAACAGCTTGTGATTGGACTTAACCACAGACTTGGATATGGTCACTGCGATCTACTAATATCTGTGCAAGAGGCAACAGCTGCCATCCCCCCATGGAGAAACTGAACACATAACAGGAATGCAGAGCACCAGTGGCCCACACCACCAAGGAGCTGAGTCTCTGCTTCCTGATAGGTCAGAATCTTACCTACAGCAAAGATGCTCTAAATGTTCTTTCTAATACCTTGGCCTTGATAATTTAACTTCTGCACTAAATGGGAAAGAAAGATTAAGGGCAAGCATCAGACTTAAAAGCAATGTATAAGGCTATTTCTCTTAAGATGCCCAGTCAAAATTAATGTCAAGGGTGAGCTAAAATTCATCTAAAATTCATTCCTTTTGCAAGGCCAGCTATTTGGAATCAATGTCTGCATGGGGCAATGTATTCATGCCACAAAACTCTGAGAGCCTTGCCTCATTGAGACAACAAGGCATGAACTTGGGATCTTGATGGGAGATGTCATTCTGTAAATATGTTTCTCACACTGGTTAATGAATAAAGCACTGTTGGCCAATAGGAAAACAAGATAGGCGGGACTAGGAGACAAGGAGGAAAGAGGAAGTAGGGAGGAGTGAAGATGGAGAGACTGGGGAGACTAGACGCCGGCCCCACTCCCCGGTAAGAAGACCACGTGGAAATACTAGATTAACAGAAATGGGTTAATTCTTAAGACAGAGCTAGCCGATAAGAAACAAGTAACGGGCCAACAGCATTATATCAAATACAGAGTCTCTGTGTGTTAATTGGGGCTGGTGCGGCGGCAGGACAAGACCAGGCGGTGGGAGGAAAAACCTTACTCCTTACAGGATCTGCTTAAGATAAGACAGTATTTTCGAGGAAATATTTCTCTCGTGAGATCCCTTTCTTCCCCATGCATAATAGGAAGAAGACACTGTACACTTACAGTTGTTTTGTTTCCCCCCTTCTTGGCTCTCAAGATCAAGCATAAATGCAATGATCTGTAACAGATTTCCCTACAGAAAGATCAGTCACCAGCACTTCTTGCCATTTTTTTTTTTTTTTTAATGGCAGTCATGCTAATTGATGAAATCTCAGTGTGGTTTGAATTTGTTGTACCCTGATGGCCAAGGTTGTTTGGCATTGTTCTAAATCATCTTTGGAGACTACCTGTTTATTAGCCCATTTTTCTACAATGCTGGTAGGAATGCAAACGCTCTAGCCACTACGGAACTAAGTATAGAAGGTCTCAAAAAAACTACGTAAGAAACTACCACTCTGGGTATGTACCTGACCATTGTAAGTCAGCACACCATAGATGTATTTCCATACCCACGTTTACTGTAGCACTACCCACAACAGCCAAGTGATGGGATCAGCCTAGGTATCTGTCAGATGACTGAACAAAGAAAATGTGGTATGTACATACAATGGAACTTTATTTAGTCATAAGATCAACATTATGCTACTTGCAAGAGAATAATTAGGACAGGAAATCTCTATGTTAATTTAAATAAGCCAGGCACAGAAAGACAAATATCACCTTTTTTTTTTTTGTTTTTGTTTTTCAAGACAGGGTTTCTCTGTATTGCTTTGGAGCCTGTCCTAGAACTAGCTCTTTAGACCAGGCTGGACTCAGAACTCACAGAGATCCGCCTACCTCTGCTTCCCGAGTGCTGGGACTAAAGGCATGCACCACCAATGCCTAACCAAACATCACCTTTTCATTGCTGTATCAAAACATACACCTGTCTGTTTGTCCATTTGTCACCCATGATGAATGACATAATAAAGAAGACTGAGGGAAAGAAGAAATGGGGAGGAGGGATGACTAGAGGAAGGAAAGGTACAGAGGGGGAGTGAAGCTGGTCAAAGTTCACGATATATTCAAAAGAAACTATCTGAAATCCAACATGATGTACAGTGTATACAATAATTAAAACAAATCAACCACAACTTAGAGTCATGAAGCAGATGACATCTTGCTTGGTTATGCAATGTTGAATTACTCTCAAGAATAACATAACAATAGTGAAATGAAGGGTGTGGAATAATTACTAACTTTCATTTTGATTGTCCCAACTGCATGAAGAAAAAACGTGTTTAAAAAAAAAAAAAAAAAAGCCTGGAGGGGATAGTGATATCAAATAAAAGAAAAGAAGGAAGTACAATTTAAAAGCTTTCTATTAAATTCTCAAGAGCTGTGGTTACATAGTATCCAAAAGGTGAATCTGATGTGCTGTAAAATTATAGGCACTGGAGAGTGAGCAAGGTTATGAACTAAAATTTTACTAAAGGAAACCAAATGTTTTAGACACCCATCAAGAACACAGGATTTTGTATTTATCTGGGACAGTAAAACATAAACTAGGACATGTGTGTATCCCCAATAGAGAGGGATAAAAAATGACAGCAAAGAGATGGCTCAGTGGTAAAGAGCACCGACTGCTCTTCCAGAGGACCCAAATTCACTTCCCAGCACCCACACGGCAGCTCACAACCATCTAAAACTCCAGTTTCAGGGGGCCCGGCATCCATAACAAAACACTAATGTACATAAAATAGAAATAAATAATTTTTTTGTAAAAAATAGGGTTTGGTGGGGTTGACAGGGGAGGATGGAAGGGTGAGGCAACTGGGATTGACATGTAAAACAACTTTGTTTCAAATTTAAATAAAAAGGGTTAAAAATGACAGCAAAGGCAAGAGGAACAATGCAAGAACAGTTTTGTTTGTTTGGTTTCTGCAAGGTGCCTGGGACCTTTCACACTCACAGGGTGCAGGGAAACGCCCTACCTGTAGACATAACAATGAGGCAGGCTCTTTACAGCAATCTGCACCTTGTAGAGTTATTCTGTAAGTTACCCCACCCTAAGTTATCTCCACTTTCAAGTTATAAATGCAGAAACTCCATATACCATAAGAGCAAATTGAGATCGGCTCACTCTGAAAACCAAACCTCTACATTTGTGAAAACTGGATCTCACAACATTTGACTTTATTACGACTGCTCTGGGACTTTGTGGAAAGAGCCACAAGGTATGTGTGTAACATTAAAACAAAACCAGAGCGTGATTAGAGCCAAAGGCTGGAACAGGGCGATGCTGAGAACAGACCGGGATCAGGACAGAGTTCACATTTCATTCTCCTTCCACATTCTTAATGGGTCGCTTCAAGTCGAACACTTTGTTTATAACTTTCACATTCATCTCTTGTTGCAGAGGCACATGGGTTTATAGACCTCCCCAGCATCCCAGAAAAGTGGGATCCACTGCAAACGGTGAAGACTATCACCATCAGGGCACAAGACAGGAACCATAGGCATTTTATTTCAATTACATTTGCAAGTTGTGGACAGTTTAGATAAGAACTCAGCCATTCAAATACAATCAAATACAATCAAAAAGACATCCTTCACAGTACAAAAGGACCTAATATGGGAGAGTATTAAAGCCAGTGTGGTGGTGCATGCCTGTGAACCCCAGTGCCTAGGAGGATTGCGAGTTCAAGATTGGTATGGGCTACATAGCAAGACTTGTCTTGAAAAAAATACAACCAACCAAACAAAATACAGGAGAGGATAGCATTGAATAACTGTATGATGAAACACATATTTACTACTAATACATTCAATATGAATTATTAATACCACACACAATTAAATAGCCAATATTAAGTTATTTTCCAACTTAAATACATTTCTAAGTTCTCTTAGGAGTGCACCTACTGTACTCAGTGAAAAAAATCATAAAAGCAGAAAGCAATGAACACAACATATGTGGAGGAAATCCATCTGCTGTTGCTCTCACTGCAGCCTGGCAGGGTCGGGGCGGGGATGGGGGAAGGCAGCTTTGGTGCAGGAGCCTAACTTTTCTCCAATGGCTGCTTTCCCCACTTTGCATGATCAAATCAGCCTGTACCACACTTCCTTTCCCACTCATCCCAGTTTGTAATTTTGCACAAATTGTGTGATTACCTGGTTAATCTGTGTCTCTCTTAGTGCACAGCTCAGCACACTAATGTCTCACTTAGTACACGGCTAGCTCTCAAAGGGTAGACACTGGTTCTTTTGTTCTTGTTGCTGTGTTTTGTTTTATTTTAAGAGAAGGCTGAACAACTGACCTAAAATTTACTATGTAGCTTATGCTGGCCTCACAATCAAGGCAATACTCCTGGATTCAGCTTCCTGAGTATTAAGATGATAGGCATGAACTGTACTGTGACCACCTTAGAGACAGGTTCAGTTTTGTTCTTCTTTTGCCTTCACTAATAGACACCAAACAAATATATTTTTTTCAATTAAAGAAACAGATCATGTATGAAGACGATTTGGAGCTCATTATACTGGGCCATTTCAAAATGAGGGCAGATTTGTAACAGGACACCCAGGTACTAATGTGATCCCAGTGGGAATAGCAGAGGCTAAACCTAGGAATGAATGTGCAAGTGACAACCTCTTGACTTGACTTTGCAACAGTGTCACTACTATTTCAAAGAAACCGATGCCTTGGTCACCTATTTAGTAAGTGGTAGAGACATGACCTCATCTCTCGGTCTTCAGGGATAAATGCAGCATTCTCCCTTGCTCTGTGTCCCTCAGAGGCACACCCAGGATGACTGATCAGGAGAATGTCAGCCAGCTGAGAGCAAGGATGGAAGGAACAGGGGTGGGTGTTCTTCTTGGAGGACAGGGGTATCAGCACTGGGTCTGCTCTGCATGGCTTCGGGCATCAGGGGATGAAGTGCATGATAGCCTGATTTCACCACAGCCACTCAAAATGCTAAAAATTGGGTACAGGTGATCAGTCAGAAATGGGAAACATATAAAGGACAGAATGGTGACCTCCCAAAAAGTAAGTAGGTTTATATCCTAATTCCCAGAACCTGTGAGTGTGCCCTTACTTGGAAAAG